AGAAAATCATCTTTCATTCCATCAACAACTACTGCACTAACTGTACAGTGATCTGGGTGATCGAGTCTGCTTTGGTCACAGTTCATTGGAGTAGAGGCACTCGAGGCAAGTTGACGGAGATTAGGATTCTCCAGGGCAGCTGCAACTCTTTCTTTATCATTCAATTGCTTATTAACTGCAGAGAAGACAATTTCAGTCAGACTTCAGGAGGAGAACATTGGCTAAATGTAATCAGATGATTAGTTTGTCTCATGAATTGGAACTCAAAAAATACAAGAGGGGTTTTTTCCTTTTATGGTGTTAAAGAGGAATAGCTTATCTGCAGCTTTCGCTTTTCTATTTCCAGTTTAATCATTAATCTATTCAGTTCTCCAGATGTTAAAAGAAGAAAAACATCAACAATAGTCCTAGTCATATTGTGTTAATGAAAAGCTCCAAATCTACCCTACATGCTGGAGAAATGACCAACTGCAGTTTTGCTGGGTTCTTTCTACTGTCTTTTTATTCAAATCACTAAATCTGTGTAATCCTTCAGGTAAGACGCCGAGAAACGAATAATGGAATGAAAAGGAGAGAAAAAAAATATAAGATGATTCTAGCTCCTAGGTATGCAATATTTAATGAAATTACTCTTCTTCTATGGCTAAGAGAAGTCACCATTTTCTCTTGGTTCTTCATAATCCATATTATCCAATTCCAATTCAAAATCCAATCACCTGATCAAGTTTCAAGAATATGCGATATATGATGGACTTAATAGGATTTATGCAACTTTACCTGATTCTTCATTGGCATGAGATCCAGGAGACACTTTAATGTCAAGCTGTACAACCAGGCCATGAACAAAAGTACGAGAAAACAGGTTGATGATAATAATTAATGAGTAATGCCAGATGAAACAAATCTCACACAATTAACACAAAATTATCCCATCAAAAAGTGCAGACACAAGGCAGGAAGGATAGAATTTCATAGGTTTCTCTATAGCTTTGGTGGTGAGAAAACACTCTCTAGGCGTTTGGGGTTACTTTTCAAGCAGTTATTAAGTATGTAAATTCATATTTTAAAAAATACATAGTTATACGTTTAGGTAGACCACGGATTAAGGTAAGCAGTTAGTGTTTTATTTAAAAAAATAACAAAGATGTATATATATTTATACTGCAAGCATTTATTATAAAGTGTTTCACATACTACTAATTTTAAGAGGATATCAAGAGGCTAATTAAGTAAATTAGTTAGATAAAGAAAAATAAGAACCTAAAATAGTTGGGCTCGAGGTGTTTGTTTTCTATATCCTTAAAATCACTAAACATCTACCAAACACACTACTTTTTCTATTACCAAACATGAATATTGAAGCATGAGTGCTTAAAACTTCTTATAAACATTAAAAAAGGAATACCAAACATTCTATAAGAATCTAAAAAGTTACTATTGCCATGTTTATTTTCTACCTTCTTAGATTCTCTTTAATGAACCTAATAGACACCTTGTGCTTTATGTTACCAAATGTGAATACTGGAAAAGAGGTACTTAAATCAACTTATAAATATGACATGGTCGGGATATTAACATCTAAGCGATAATCAGAATATCTGATCCAAATAAAGAAACAAATATTACATTTTAGATGTAAATTTAAAACCCAATCCTGAGATCGCACTTGACCATCAGTAGACAAAACAAACTTAAGCTAATTGGATTAATTTAAAACTCAGCCTGCCAAGTCCAGAGGTTTAAAGGAATAAATATTAATGGTTACAATTTCAAATCGTGTTCAATAAAAACTCAATCCTCAAGTGAAATTAGCAGTTTTTTAGCACCATATATAAGAATGATTTGCGTAGACGGGTGTGACAAACAGAAATACAATTCAATATCCCCATGAATCTAGAAAAAATAAAAAGGTCTTACAATGACAACCAAAATTATTCATTCAAGTTAACACAAACACTCTACTAAGATGAATAGTAATTTTTCGCATTTCACCAAACTATCCACATCAATGTCTCCAAGAATGTGTTAGTTTCAAATTCATTTCTCAAATAAAGCACATAAATAATCCAGAGAGAACAAACAGTTAATCTAAATAAAAATCCCATAATCTATACAAAAAATGATAGAACAACTGACCTTAAAATGTGGCGGGAAACACTCTTTTAGCTTAACTCTCAGGCATAGACCAATCACGGTCGCCATACTACAGTGCTGAATTGTGGGCGTGAAGGTTATCCTTGAAAAAACAAAACACACAAAAGAAACCATCTATTAGAGGATGATGAGAAAAGCAAAATCCCATTTAAATTGGCTTCAATTGATCTAAATTAACAGATAAAACACCAAATCCATTAAAGATAAAATGAAAAGAGACAGGTTTTGAGCTAGCAATGTAAGTAATACAATTGAAAATCAATAACCATAGCTGGTATCTACTTCCACAATCTTCAGGTTTTGAGTAACATAGAGTTAGTTCAAATTCTTATTAGAAAAAAAATAAAAAAAAATAAACAAAAACCAAAGCTTAGTAATACTCACAAAATACGCCCAAGCTTCTCATCAACTGTAATCGACTCCTCAGAAAGAACGCTAAGCTGCTCCAATGAATACGGATGCTCTGGATCTCTTATATCTCTCACGAAATGTACCAATTTGAGTAAAGGATCGCAAATTCATATCAAAATTTCCTCTACATACAACTCGGATTAGCAATTAAACGATCAAGCGAAACGAATCAGTAATTTCAGTCCCAATTTCGAATAATTAGAATCTAAACAGACGACAAGACTAAAAAAAAAAAAAGCCCCGTCTAAATTTGAAGAAGAGAAAGCAGTAGTACTGCTTGAAACAAACTGATTTTGTGAAGAAAAAAAAGAAATAAACGAAGAGATATCGTAGATTTCGAGGGATACAACGGCGTCGTCTCCGTGAGGATCTTCAGTTCGAGCTACTCTTTCCTTTTTGGCGTGAACCACTGGGTTCGCATTGATCAGTCCCAGAGTCATCTCTCTCTCTCTCTCTCTCTCTCGTCTCCGTCTGTTCTTCTTTTCTGACTCTTAAGTTCACGAGCCGCGGTCTCAAAGTTGACTGTACTTGGTACAGGAATGATTGGCTGTTTTCGTCTCTGTCTCACCATAACCTGCCACGTCAATCCGGTGCCGTACTTGATTCGTCTGAATTTAATAATAGTTTTTTACTTTTTTTTTTAATAAAAAAAATCGTGTTATCATAAAACAAAAGCACGGCAAATTATTAAATATATAATTAGCCTCTTTATAGCACATATTGTTTGTCATTTATTTAAATATATAATTAATACAAATATATTAATATATATTTTATTTAAATTTATTTTAAAACAACAAAATATACGTTAAATTTATTAAATATATACTACAAAAGTAATGCTTGTAATTATTTAAAAACTAAGATATAAATATTCTTCTGAAATAAAAAATAGCCAATAAATATGTGAACAAAATAATTAGGAAATGTTAATGTTAAACAATAAAACATATATATTAGAATAATTCAACGATATTTAAATAATTTTTATATTGTTTGGTACTGAATTTTTTTACATTCAAAATAATTTAAATTTCTTCAAATAAATCAAATATCTATACGTAACTCCCTACCTATGATTATATATATATATTAATCATAATATGCTAACACTGTTCAATATGATAACAAAGATGATTAAATTTAAATACATTAAATATATTTTTATAATTATTAAAAATATTATAATTTGAATATTATCATATACATTGTATAAATTCATTAATAATATGTATGAATATTAAATAAACTAAAATTAATAAATTTGAAGCCACGTATTTTTTTTTTTTTTAGAATATAAAATATGTACGTCAAATTTACAAAACAGATAACAAATAGATAAATATTTTATTGTCCATCCAAATTCATGTCCTTAATTTTCCTATTTTATAAGTTGGATTTAAGTGGACAGCCAGGTCCCGTAGCTCAGTTGGTTAGAGCGTTGGTCTTATGAGCCGAAGGTCGCGGGTTCGAGCCCCGCCGGGACCAGATTTTTATTTTTCATTTTTCTAACCCCGGAACTTCAGTTCCGGCCTCCGGGCCATTTCCTTAATGTTATCATTATGATTCATTTTTCGAAATATAATTTTACTTTTGTTAGCTCATCTCAAAATTTTTATTAGTTATTTAAAATTAACTCTTTAATGCATTTATATGTGGAGCTTAAAGGCATTTTTTTTGCAAGTTAATTATATATGTTTATCAATTTATACTCTAATGTCACAGTTTTTTTTCCTTAAATATTTGTTGCATTTGTTTTTCAGAATTTAATATATGATTTTTTAAACATATTTAAATTTGGGATCAAATTTCAGAGAGATCATTGAAAAAAATTTAATGGGCAGAAGCAAGCCTAAGTTTACACACTTTTTAAAATTCAGTTATTAAACTTTTAAATTACTTTTTAATTAAAATCAAAAGTTTTTACTCTGGTTACATAAGTTCTCATTTATGCAATCTTATGTGCAAATGTAACGTTATGGCATACAATAACATCTAAATGCAATCTTTAAACAGGAATTGTGAATCCATTAAGAAACCACAGGATTTCGTTAAAACAAAGAAAAAAAGAAAATCCCATTTTGTTGCAATGATCAAGGATTGTTTGGTAACTCAGAATTCAGATTCTTTTTCTTCCCAGAAAATCGGTACACAACAACACCAATCCTGGATCCCTCACTTGGCCGATCCGCGTGTATAACATCAACAACAAACAGCTTCTTTGCCTTCTTGAAGAACGAAGAATCCTTCTTCCATCTTCTCAAATGAGCCATAACGAACACCCTTTCCTTCTTCTTATTCTCATCACCGCCGCCATTCAAAAGCAGCAAGCGCAGTGTCTCGATTAGAGGATCATACAGATGATCGTGATACACGACGTCAGATGCTAGCACAAGGTCGAAGTCAAACTCCTTTTCCATCCTTTCCACGTCACCGGGATCTCCCCACTTGAGCGGCGCCGTTTTGACCCTCCCGCCGCGACTGGCCAATACGTCGGCGTTCGCCTCGGCGTTGAATTGGAGGTTGGGGATGACGTGGGCGAGGTCTGTCACCATGACGTCAGCCCCCAGCGTGGCCGCTGCGGCGATCCCGACGAGGCCGGTGCCAGAACCGAGCTCCAAAATTTTGAGAGGCCGAGTACTTGAGCCAGTGGATATAGCGGTGAGGGTGGAGGCGAGCGGGCTGTTGCTAGGGTCACAGTGGTCGTTGTCCAGAAGAGTAAAGAGAGTTGTAGCTGCTGGCCAGAGCTGGAAGGAGAGGCCTCGTGATGGGAGCTGCCTTATCACCACCGTTGACTGGATCGAACGGAGGTAGTGGCGCTGTAGTTGCAGGTTTCCTTCACCGCTGTGTACTGTAGACAAACTATTACCGCCATTTTGATCTTCTGGTAGCAGAATTTTGAGAGGATCTACGTCGTCTTCATCGCCTTCCTGGCTCGCCATGATCTGGAGTGAGCAGCTGTAGTCGAGTACAGTCTGATGTATACTCTCTCTCTCTCTCCCTTCAGATTGCCGCTTTCTAGGACAAGAAATGGACGACTCAGTCTCTGACTAGGGATTTTCGGTTCCTACGAATTTCCAATTTCGCCCTCGCTTCGTTCCAATGTAAACTGCTGGTAAATTTGAAGGACCACACACCAGGCTCAGTAACTAGTTAAGTGAGCCCAGTGGGCTTTGGGGCGACATGGTAAAAATATGGCATTTTCAATATTTTATGGGCAAAGTCATAATTATATAGTTCCGGTGGATATGAATGCAATGTGAAGAACTCTTGTTTGATCTGGGAGACTGCGATTATCTAAGCCACGAGAGTGGGGAGCGGGAAGAACGAGGCAATTCACTGAGAAGCAGATATGATTAAAGCCGTGATGGTGATGAACACCCAAGGCAAGCCCCGTCTTGCAAAATTTTATGATTTTCAGGTCTGTCGAAACTTTGTACATGTTATATGTAATATCACGATCTTTTTTTTTTTTTTCCCGTAAATATCATTTCAGTGATTAATTTGAGTTCAATTGTTGTGTGAATTCAGCCTTTCGAGAAGCAGCAGGAACTTATGCGCGGTATCTTTTCAGGTTCTCTTTTCTCTTCCGCACAAGCACGATTTTATTGAGGTTAAATCTGTTCCAGTCGATTCAAAACTTTGTTCGGATGAGATGAAAGTGTTCGTTAATAGCTATCACGGTTGCAATTATGATTTACTCTAAAATTAGATTCCACTCTGGTTTTTGTTTTCTTTTGGTCGCTTTTATGCTTAATTTCTTCCTTTTCGTTTCGGTTTTGATTCTTGATCCTCATACAGTCTTGTGCAGTCGAGCCGAGAATGTAAGCAATTTTCTGGAGGCTGATTCAGTCTTTGGCCCGGTATTCTCTCCCAACTAATTCTAAAGTTGTATAGAATTTGAAATGTTGGTTGTCATAGACTAGTTTTTTCTTTTATTTGTGAAATTTCATATGTATTATTCTTATTTCATTTAGAATTTATCTGAAACTAAAAATTCATGTTTGGAACAACTGGTGTATAAAAATTAATATTTTCGAATCAATTTACATTTTATAAAATTCATTTGTTCCACGCTGCACGTTTTTTTTTTTTAATACTGTTGAGAAACTGGATAACTTGAGTAGCATGCTTGTGATGGAAGTGGTGTAATTCTTATCTACCGGTATGAATTCATCTGTGAAGCTTTTTGTGGAAAAAAGTGTTGTGTAGCATCCTTGTGTGCTTTTGTATTAGTAGTATAGGATATGCAAGAAACTTATACTCATCTATCTTATCTTTCTGCAGAATTCTCGCCTTGTGTACAAGCATTTCGCAACTCTTTACTTTGTCTTTATTTTTGATAATTCTGAAAATGAACTAGCAATGCTTGACCTGATACAAGGTAAATTTGGTACCTCATTTACTAAGGATTCATGAATAAGACACTATCCGGGATACTGAATGTAAGATTTTCATTGGTAATCTTACATGCAGTTGCTACTTCATGGTTGATCCTTCCTTTAAAACTTAATTATTTTCCTTTGGATATCTGCATGATTGAATGCAATGTTGGTTACAACCTGATATGCATATCGTGGGAGATAAATTTAGAAAGGATCATTTTGATAATTGAGTTATCTGTCAGTTTGAGGAATGGCTACATCACAGTAACAAGAATATGAAACAATGATGGACCACTAATCACTATTCATTATTTGCATGCTTTTCATGTTGTTACTAAATCCAGCTTTTTCCTTTTTATTGAGCATGTTCTTTAATCTGTTCATATCCATGATATTTTTGGTGGATAAGGCCCAATTAAGGCAACCATAGTTCTATAGGCAGTTTGGGATTATTATAACAACTCAAATAATGGGTTCTACCATGGTGCCTTGGAGGCATAATGCATACAAGCAAATCTTCTAATGTTTCAAAATAAGTAACTTTGTGTAATAATCCAATATTGTGTAATTAAGTTACTACACAATGTTAGATGATTACTATAAAAATTATAGTATTGTTAGAAAGTTACACAATGTCTCCGAATCACTATAGGTTCTCCCTCAAAGAGAAAAGGCAGGGTTCATGTCTTAAATTGCAAATTTATCATTCCATGTTTTGTTGACAAGCAAGGTCCATCATGGATAACATTGTTTATGTTAATTCGTGTATTTCCTCTTTTTAAGTTGTTTATTTGATTAGAAGATTTGCTGACTCGACTTTATCTCCTTCAGTTTTTGTTGAAACCTTGGACAAATGCTTCAAGAACGTGTGCGAGCTTGATATTGTGTTCAATTATAGCAAGGTTGAGAATTCATTTCATTTATTAGTAGCAATAATATTGCAATAATCATGTGCGTTGCTTCACTGTTTATGGCTGCTAATTTACTGCAGTATTTTCATGATATGCAGTTGAACTAGGGATTTCATTTCCAATATATATGTCATCATGAGATGAGCTTCCTTGTTCATGTTGCTCGATAGATGCAAGGATTCCTCTCTCTAGTTCTTTCTCAGTAAAATGTTATTAAAACTGAACCAATCATCAAACTAATCAAGGCCCTGATTTAATAGTTGACTAGTGATTTAGTACTGGAACCACTGGTTCAAAAATTTATTTATAAAATAATAACTGCTAAAAGTGCTAACAATTTATGTTATTAACATTAAAAAAGTGAAAAATGTTATGTTAATTATCATCACAAAGGGGTAATTAATTTTGTCTAATTTCTATGCTTATTTGATGTGTTCTCAAATTGGGCTGGTTAAATGTCTACTCTTTTCTGGGTTTGTCTGATTAGTTTGATTCATTCTGTGGTGGATCTCAATTTTCAAGGTCTTATTCTTTTCTATTTCCTTGGTAAAGGGAACATGGATATTAAAATCCGAGTCCCATCTGTTTTACAATTATAATATAGGTGAATTTAAGATTCATGAATCTTTTGTAGATGCATACTATACTAGATGAGATCATATTTGGAGGTCAGGTGCTGGAAACAAGTTCCACAGAAGTTTTGAAGGCTGTTGAAGAAATATCAAAGTACTCTCTCTCTGTCTCTCCCCTTCTCCCTCTGTGTGTGTGTGTGTGCACTTGTATGTGTGCATCTGCATGCATGTGTATTTGTTTGTTGAGGTTGGTGGTGTCTGGTTTGTATTATCAGATATGGCTTATATGGACTTAACAGCATGAGGTCTCTAATATTATGCAGGTTAGAAGCATCTTCCAATGCCATTTCACTTGTTTCCAAATCTGTCTCTAGTTGGCGAGGTCGCTAGTGCATTCCATTACCAATGAAATAAGGAATTCTGCTTTATAAAAATGTTTTTCTTGTACTTGTGCATAGATGATATATATTCTCATCAATGGAGTCGATTTTGTTGTATCATATACTGTTTCTTTCAACGGAGCTTGTTCAGCAACTGAGCCTGTAATCTTATCTGTGAAATGATCTTTATATTCCTTACGCTCTCGTTGGCAAAGTCGGTAGAACTTTTTGTTAGACTGGTGAAAACTGAAAAATTGGTTTCTTGTACTGGTGGACAGATTATGCATCTACACATTAATATACAGAGATTGATTGTTGGATTTGCTGTTTCTTTCAATAGAGTTTGTCTAGCGTGTGAGCTTCTAATCTTAAGCATGAAACGGTACTCATTCTCTCTACACTTATTGAGGAATTAAACATATTACAATTGCTCTTCTAGGGTGTCCTTGGATGGAGTGGATTAGATTGAAAAGGGGAAGGGAATGGAAAATTATTCTAGTTGGGACATGAAAATATCTTTTAGTTTTATTTTTTAAATTCATATGTAATCTTGTATGTATAAGAGATGTATATTTGTGTAACACTTCAACTAATTTTAAGATAGCAAATTGAATGTAGAGTTTAATTATTTTAAAGAGTTGAACCACCATGAGCTGCTGCAGTCATACGCAAGTTTACTTACATTTCAGTATCAATCACGTAAGCTGCACCCCAGACAACACAAAATCATACTCTTCTGTTGCCAAAAAAGATAGAGAATATTGATAAAACAACTGATGTAATCAGCCTTACTTCCATTCTCTCTAAGAACTTCGATCATCGGTTTTATCCAAGTTTCATCAAATACTAAATCCTAAAGACTTGCCATGATCACAAAATTAAGAGAACAGGAAGGATGACACCTTGGATAAGCATCAGGGTTTAGTTTGGGAACTTGGGAAATCTCAGAATGATTAAGCTCCTGATTCAGCCCAAATAAGAGAGCGCCATCCAAACAGGACATGAACAGGGAAGGTTTTTCTTTTGCAGCCAACTCTCCATTAAAAGGAAATAAAAAGAAAGACAAACAAACAGCACATTGAACAAATACACAGCTGAGCTTGATATAGAAGAAAGGAACAAAATTGGGGTTAGTGAACCTGGTGATGTAAGGGCGGAGGAGGCTTTGGAGGGAGCTGCAGCGGAAGAACATGAAGCCAGGAATAAGCTCCTTCAGTCACGATTGCACCGCCGGTGATGTCATGCTGCTCAAAATGTCTAATGTCATCGAATAATTGTTATAGTTACAGTATCAAGTTCTAATATGTTAGACCATAATAAATTGTCTAACATAACTAAGAGCATTGTTGAATGGATTTGAATTGTGTTGTAAATAACATTTTCTTAATATTGTTATCCAAATTGGGTCGTCAAAAACTAGTAGCAATAACTTCTGCACTTTGCCTACAGGTAGATTTAGGAATTAGAATCTTTAGTACATATAAAATGGACAGCCTTGTAGCAATGCAGCAACTGGATACCAACATTACTACATATATTTACATGCAGAGTACAGAATTATAAACCCAGCAAGGACGAAACAGGCACTTAATATTAGCAATTTCCAGAACTGGCCTGAAAAAATTCCTCAACCAGAATGTTTTTTGAAATCTTTAAGGACAATACGGGCAGCATTCCTACCAGGTGCACCCATCACTCCACCTCCGGGATGTGTTCCGCTCCCACACATGTACAAACCTCTTACTGGTGTCCGATTATCTGACCTGTATATTAAAATAAAACCAGATTTCAGTGTTACAAGGGCTAAAAGATACAGAGGAAGCTTTAATTGAATCTTGATTTTTACCCCAGATCATCCTAGTCAATAGTACTTTGAGTTTCAGATGTTAGAAATTACCATCCTTTGATAGGGGGCATCAAGAAAAGTGAGTCTAAACCCATGGCACCATGAAAATATTACCCCCTATTGCATAAATAGAAAGGTAGCAAATTCAATATTAGCAGCCAAAAATATGTTTGTTCACAATTGTTATTACTATTCTATCTCAAGTTCATTTTATATTTCCTTATGCTGAAATAGTTTTGTTACTAAAAGATACAAAAACATCTATGTTGTCACTCATGGATGTAATAATATAGAGGTCTTGACCATGGATGGAATAAACTGCCTGTTAAACCAAATTCCCTTTCGAGATCTGGTGGTGTTAGTATGTCAAAGCCAATGACCGATGAGCTGAAGCCAGGGGCATATTCATCAATCAAATTGAAACATCTCCGCGCATAAGATTCCTACAAAGAATCATCATTTAGTAACTGATAAACGTGGACAACCTCATAAATAATTGGGATTGGCAAGTTACTGCATATACAAAAAGCACAGCTGCATGCATACAAATATATAATGCTGTCAATTGGACTTATAACTGACTTTGTATGGAGGATCTTCCCAGCTACCATCTGAGGGTTTATAGGGTGTGTATTGTGTGAATAAGCTAACAACATGCTTACCTACAGAAAATAAATATGGGGTCATACTGCAGGTGAATTTAGTTATGCAACTCAGGATTGAATAAGGACATAACTTTTGGTCTTACTCCATCTTTTATCAAGCACGTTTAATAAAATTTCAGACTTCATAGACAAGATGCATATGGAGTCACACTAAAAATATCAAGCAAGCCGTGAAAAGATTAATGGTAGTTATACCATGAGGAGAAATAGTTTTATCCATTGAAGAAGGAATTGTCGTCTCCATAATAGGCCTTCTTGACGGCAAGCCATTCCAAGCATCTCGACAAGCTGAGCCAATCTCCTCAATGCTAATGGATTGTAATTGAAGACGATATATAAAATTAAGAGTGAGCGAAGCTATAAAGTCAATGAGTTTATTCTTGTCTTTTGAAAAAAATTAATAAGTATACAATATACACTTAGAAAGCTCGGGGATGATTTTCTGTAAAGTCCCAAAATTGATAGCCATGTGACATAGTGGCAGCTCGTATAGAAGTTCATGCAGACAGATGAAATATACTGTGAGGTATAGAAACTTGCAGCAAGTTTAAATACAGCATAGGAGCATGACATTCAAGTTTAAAATACAGAGGAGAGCAGGAGATTCTATGTTTTCCATGATGAGTGTATTGAACACGTGGATCCAACAAGATTTAGAGCTGATGAGTATCAAAAGGTCTCAGCGAATATGTTAGCATGTACCTTTCACAAGCAATGCGAATAACAGCTGTATGCTGAAGGCCCACCTCTTCGTGACTCGACTTTAAGCATTGGAATTGAGGCAAGTTGTCCACAGCAACATTAATTTTTGTAGTTCCCTGTTCCAGTTCAGCAATAGACCATAGTCAGTACATCTTAAACAACCCGTTCTACTTCATCCTTACCCCTACTTCTCCACCCCCTTCTTATTTTACCAGTTTTCTCCATAGAACTCTTTCAAGCATTGTGTTAATAGCAATTATACACCTCCTTTTTGTTCATATTAGGATCTATATCACCCCAAACACACACAAACTTTTTAAAAAATCATATTTACTTGGCTGCTTGATGAAAGACCAAACTGGGAAACTATGACAGATACTGGTTAACGCTGACGAACAATTGGAAATAACTAATCTTACAGATGTATAATCTGAGTACTTGATTGCACAAACAAAATCAACAGGTAGGACATCTTGAGGCATCAAGTCCTGTCATAAGAATAACTTTCTTAAAAAGAAATGGCCATTAACAGAGGTAAGATGAGAAACTTATATAAATCTATATTTTCATCATACTGATAAAATGTTTTTAAGGCATACTTTCTAAATGTATCAATAGTTTTCCAATGCTCCATCAGATCATAGAAAGACAAAAAAACTAGGCATTTACCATGAAAGTCTTGTAAGGAGTTGCATTTGACAAAACAACTGAAGCATTGAGTCTTGTTCCATCAGCCAGTAATACCTTCATTCTTAATATGGTAAGACATCTGGAAACTTTGACAAAATACTAAAATCATTTACCAAGTCTGGTCATTCAAGAAATGAACTAACCCCATTTACAATGCCGGTGTCTTCAGTCATAATTTTTGAAACCTATTTAGCAAGATTCTCAAAAAGAGAAACATAGATACCTCATAAAATGCCAATGCAAGCAGGTCTCATAAGACTACTAAGAGATAGATATATATGTAGAGAGAGAGATATTGAACTAGCCTGTTAGATGCCAGACAGAGATGAAACAGGGTTAAACAAGAAGAAAACATTAGCATTTTGGTTAAGCCTCTATGTCAGTCTGCTGTACCAACTAAACTACAAAATTTACCCAATCTTGTGATGGTCTCATTGAGAAATATGTGAAAGATCGAAAATTAAGTTATTTTGCATGGAAGTATCCTTAATATGAAGTGGGATGACTGAGAGTCTAAACATTCTGATGCAACATGAGAAACTTGTATAATTACGGAAAGAATACAATATACCTCGATGTTTGTTAGAATGTATGCCCCAGCTTCCATAGCAGCACTAGTTATGGCCTGGGATACTGAACCCATGCCACCTTCAACATGCCTACAAGCAGTGCCTGATATCAGTAATTAAGCTCATGTTCAAATGGCAACAGATATGAATTTGAGAACATGATTGATGCTGCACCTCTAAACAGTGATATGAAGATCATGAATTTAAATTGGTTCATAACATCGATAGGTGTATCTAGCTGTCAAAACAGAAATTGGTGTAAGTCTTATATAATCATCAATTTCATGTTCTGGGAAGAACAAGAAAAGAGAACCATAGTATTGATCAAGTTCATAACAGGAACAAAAATGGCAAAAAGTGTGGGGATAATAGTTCAAGTTTGACAGTGTTTGGTGATATACAACAACCCAATTGATCACAGTTTGAGAGTGTGGATATAGGATACTTACATCCAAATATTGCGTTCACCGTCTATTTCACCCACTACATGATGTAGCAACACATAGCCACTCCCAGGTGTATGAATACTTGCCTTCAAGACAATAAATTTGAGAGAGATTAAACTAGCAGGCAGGATAAAAAGCTATATCCACCAGACAACTGTATCTAAAATGGTAAGAAGAGTTTACAGAATTGGAAAAACATACCGTAATTAAATTAAAATGTGGTTGTTCACATGTTCAAGTTTTGTACCTTGCAAATAAATAAAGCCTTACCATACTCCCAATAATAGCATCTGCTGCTAGGGTTGCCTTCAGGACATCAGTCTATAAAATAAACCAAGAAAATGAAATTAATAAAATTAACGTAGTTTATGAGTGGCTTGCTTAAAATGAATGGTTAATAAGATAATTATAGTATTCAAGAAATCTAGAAATGTCTTTTAAGACAACAAGATCATGAAGTAACTATAAAATAACAGTGCAACTCATAATATGCAGAGCAGTTTAAAATCCAATTTCAGTTTCACATTGTTTATAGAAAAGAAATTCAATACAGAGATTCATTAATGTCATGCTACCATTTAACAGTCCAGGCACATTAAACAGACCAACAGGACTAGGAAAAATTCACTATTCAGAATCTTTGACGTTGGGGACAAAAGAAAATCCATGAATTCCCTGTCCAAAGAAATATTGTAACACATATTAACAAAAGGAAAAACAACAATTAGGCAGATACTGCAGTAAAATGGATACCTAATCGATGAGGAATAACTTATAACCATTTCTCCCAAAAAATTAAGCTAGTAGATAACCTATTCACTATAACTTATATAACTGCTATCCTCACACAAACCGCTCCCACCGGGTCCCTGAAGGAACTCAATCATGGGATAAAAATGACTGAACGAGAGGCCTAACAACAGATTCAATAACAAAAAAGATAAATGGATAAAAGGATCTATCCTAAAAAAGATTAACCCTTGCACCAAATCTTTTTGTCCCAAGGCGAGGATATGCTGTAGACATTGAGCCCAAAATACTGATTTCTGCAACTTATCTCTCAACAGATGTTTTACAGACGAACTTTCACGTAGAGTTTTAGGACTGTGAATCTAAAAGAAAATCCATCAATTTACAGAATTTGTGTAACTGAGCTTCGTATCTGCAATGCAGGAAGAAGAAGAATTGCACGGCAACATGAATAATGCTCGGAAAAAATAAAAAGTTCATACATATTAGAAACTAATGATATCAGACTATTGAGTATTGAAGTTACAGAAAATTGTATCGATTAACACGCCTACTTTAATTATATATTTGCCTCCTTTTCTCAACTTCCGGGGCTGCTAAAATCATACTCACAAGCAGAGATAGGTAGCGTGGATAAGATTCTGCATCGCGCTTGGAGAATTTTGATAACTCCAAGTAGTCACGTTCCTTGTTTGACCCCAAAAGGAGATAGCTCCCGTCCAAACACAGCGTAAACGACGAAGCAGTTGGCTTCAACAACTTTAATCCATGCCTCTTCAGCGCCAGTTCCCTTCGTAAAGAAAATTTTATACGAACCTTTTACAAATAGCTCTTAAACACAATATATTAGTTTATATATGTATATATATATATACATGTATATACCTAACAACGGAAGGGCGGAGGAGACTTTGGAGGTAGCTGCAGCGGGAGAACTTAAAGCCGGGAATGAGCTCCTCGGTGACGGCCGCTCCGCCAACAATGTGGCGCTGCTCGAGAACGGCAACGGAGAGGCCGCCCCGAGCCAGATAAGCGGCGGCCGTCAAACCGTTGTGGCAGCCGCCAATCACCAGTGCGTCCCATTTCTTTTCCTTGAGCTCGCGTGTGAGACCGGCGCTACTGTTGCTAGAGCAACTTCGCCACATTTCTGAACCTAAGGAAGCTTTGTTGGTCTGTAATCGACGCCGAGCTCATTGACTGGCCCTTTAATGGAGTATCGTTTCATAGTGACAGAGGGTGTCACCGTCAGCATTTTCATTTTCTTTGCTTTCTTTCTTTTGCAGGAATCAGGATGACGGAATTAAGGTAGCTGAGGTGGGACCCTTGAGAGTTTAAATATTTATCAATAATTATTGTTTAAAAAAATGAGAAAAGTAAAATGGTAACATAAATTAATTCAATAATTTTTTTAATCCATACCACTAAATTTTAAGAGTCTAAATTCTAAGTTATTTGTACCATATGGTTTAAGTTTTTATATACAACTTAATAATTATATATTTTTTATTATAATTTTAAAATATTATAATATCTCCATAAATACTTAATTTACTCACATTATATAATCATAAATTATATATTAAAAATTTATAAAATTTAAAATTATATTAATTAAAATTACTGAATTAACACACGGTTTAATATTATTTATAATGTTTTGAATTTAAATATTATTAATTTAATAATTTTTTGGATTCAAATAATTTGTATTAAAAAATTTAAGTTAAAATTATTAATAGTATGATTTAAATTGTTATATAAAATTTAAAAATTATATATTTTTTTAATACGAGATTAAAATATTTTAAAAGTACGTTAGTTATGTAAGGTGAAACATATTACAGTTATGCGCATGATAATTGTGGTAATAACCACGTGTCATCCTACCATTGGCCAACTAGCATAAAAGTCAGCACCGCAGCACACTTAACAGTAGATGTCAAAAAATGAAAAGGCCGATTATCATGTGTAAATACCGTATTAGTATATAAATATGCACAGCCCATCTACACGACACAGCATCTTTCTCCGAACAAAGCGGAGCTCCGACCGAGTAGCAGAGGAGACATGGCCCCGACCAGAAACCGAAACCCGTTTAAGGTTCTTACTTTCCACTCATGTCTTTTTCTGTTAGGTAGCCGCAATTTTTTTTAGTCAACTGTCAGAGTTTTTTATTTTTTATTTTTGAAAGCTAAAAACCCAAATGATATAATTATTGGAACAAGCTAATAAGCACTTCTGTGTGGCGTGCTTGGTTGGATACTATAGTTAATTAAAGCTAGAAGCGACAAAGAAAAACTAATGTTATGTATAAATATATATTTTATAGATATATAGAAACACTTTACAATCTGTTTACATGATGGGATTCTGAGTGTAAAATTAGTGTGAGAAATCCTTTAGGAGAGTTTATATCTTTGTAAAAAATTTGTGAAAATATTATTTAAATGTACCTTTTTTTTTTTTTGAACAGATTGTGCTTGGTTCAAAATCAATGGCTAGGAAAAGAATTCTAGCTGAGATGGGATATGAGTTCACAGTCGTGGTATGTTCTTTCTCCCTGTAATTTTTCCTTTGAATGTTTATTTTTTCTGTTTTTATCTTCCATTTCTTGGTAATATCCTAATTGGGTTTTTAGGGATTTTAGACTGCAGATATAGATGAAAAAGAAATTAGAAAAGAAAAGCCTGAAGATTTGGTAATGGCTCTGGCTGAGGCCAAGGTATACATGGCTTCTTTACTGGATACTTGAGACTTGCTTCATTTGTGATTTTGGGTACATGGAGTTGTATTTAAATTAGGTTATAGACGGTTGGATTATCAACTGGAGGAACTTTTTGATTTGTGCCATTTGTGGTTCCTGCCAAATGTTTGAAAAAATGATTCAGAGAGAACCCAAAAAATGATTTTCAGTTATCTCTATAATGGGCTTACCTTGAATTCTTTTCCTAGGCAGATGCTATAATATCAAGACTGGAAAAGACTAGTGAAATGGAGGAGGAGGATGATGGTCATGTCACATTGTTAATTACTGCAGACACAGTAATTGCTTTTACTCTTTTTTTTCTAATCCCTTTTTTGCCATTTTGTTAATAGTCCAGCTCAGTCCTTTTTACTTATCTCAAAAGAAAAGTACCCCAATTCAGTATATCAGAAAACAGCTTAGAGCTAGCTGTATTACAATTCAAGTGATTACCGCATGAAATTAATGAATTCAATCTTTGTTACTTTTTGTTTCTTATCACTTTATGTAATGGATTTGGAGGTGGTGGTTTACAAAGGGATGATCAGAGAAAAGCCATCCAGCAAGGAAGAAGCAAGAGAATTTATCAAAGGTTTTTTTTTTTCTTCTTCTTGATGGGTTTCATCTTATAACATCTCTGTTGTCCACTATAGTTTGGATGCAGCATAAAATTTGTACGTGGTTGCAGGTTATTCTGGTGGTCATGCAGCAGTTGTGGGATCTGTACTTGTGACCAACTTGAAGACTGGAATAAAGAAAGGAGGATGGGATAAGGCAGAGGTATGTTTCAAGCTTGCTTGATCTTCATTTGGCAAATAACTTGAAGTATGCTATTAGAATACTTATCAGATCTTTAAAAGTAACTTTACGTATTCTGTTAGAATTTATTTGAAAATATCTATTAGATGCTTAAGGGTGCTTAAGTTAATAGTCTCACAACAGTTAGGACCTTCATTCAATTTGTCCAAGTAATTTAACTTGGGACATCCTAAAATGGTCTATGTTGCTTGAACTCGCGAATAAGTACTTTGTACGGGTATGAATCCAAGTCAGAATTTATAATTTTTATAACCAAAGATAAATATATTCAGTCTAATAGTGCAAACGTTTGATATGGCTACCTCTGTTTATTTGATATTAAAGTCATAGAACTAATATAAGTTTTTTGGAAGCTAAAAGTTGTTACATACATAACAAAATACAGTCTTTAGAACAACTTGTTTAACTGATTAAACCTCTATTATACAAAAATGTGAAGAATTTAGACATTCAAGAACATCTATGTTGTTTTATTTGTTCTATTTCAACTTGTAAATCATGAATTTTCATCATTGTTTTTGTATTGTAGTATATCATAATCTCCGTTTCTAAAATATTAAGTGTCCGACATGTACATCAGCTACCAGACATCGATCATATAGCCACACCAATTTCATGTTGCGTCTGACACTGGTGCACACTTACATTAAAAAGTCTGAGCGCATCCAGTAGATTTTGCTCTTCTTTTGTAAAGTAATGCATTTTCATACATAAAATGACTATTTTAATTTAACCACAGTTCAAAATTTCCCTTTATTGTTTGGCTGAACTGTTCAAATATTAGCTATTTTCTTGGGTTTGGAAGTTAGCTATCAGTTGGTAGTTTGAGTTTTGCAGGTTTATTTCCACGACATACCAGAAGAGGTCATTGACAATATGGTAAATTACTCTGTAATAAACTCTCTTATTTCACTTCACCATCTTCACAGATTGAATAATTTGTAAACAAGTGAATTGATTTAAGCCTTTGACTAGATTGAGGAGGGAATTTCACTCAATGTTGCTGGAGGTCTGATGCTGGAGCATCCATTAACACTGCCCTTTGTTGACACTGTGGTCAGCTCCTCCTTTCTCCATCTGCTTAAATCACTTGCTCATTTATTACTTCCTGCTATTTTCATCTTCATACTCAAATTTCTTTTGCTATACTAGATCCATACCTTGTTGGTATAAACAAGTTTCTGAATTTTCATTTCAATTTTCTCCCATCTTTGCAGACTGTAGGCTGTCAAACTAGTGCTTGTGAAAAGCTTTAGCTGAACTTTATTTTTGTGATTATTCTATTGTGTTTTAATTTTATAAGATTAAATACAACTCAATAAGATATTTTTCATACACTGGTACAGCGTAGTGTATTTTAAGTATTTTCTTGAAATCAGTACATATATATATATATATATCTGTATTTTACCTCTAAAACTCGATCACTGCTAGTTTGTGAGATTTAAACATGCGAGTTTTAGGCTTTAGGGTTTGAAAAAGAGAAATATATTATACTCCCTAAAATTTTCTACAGTGAAATTGATTTCATTTCCCGATATAGAGGAGGCTATGTCAATCAAGCTATATAAAAATTTTAATGTCTTTTCTTCTTTGATCTATTTGTTCAATTTTCATATGGCACAACAGCAGTTTCATTCATTGAGCTTTGAAGGTTTTTTTTCTCTTTTATCTGTGATCCTTCTAAAATTGTTGAAGTGATCGTGCATTAAGCTATATATATATATATATATATGTACATAATATTTATACAAGAATTTCATCTGAGATGAGCATCAATTTGGTTTTGACAGGTGGGAACAGCTGATACTGTGATGGGACTTACTAAAGCTCTCACAGAAAACCTCATTGATGAAGCTCTATAGCTCTTACTGCACTCATTGCAAGTCCTAATGTATGAAGTTTATGTTCCTGAATCCTCTTCATTCCCTTTTTGTCATCTCCTTATGGTTGATAACTGATAAAGAATCCAAGATAAAGAAATGGGAAAAAACAAGAATGATTGATTGTGAAGTTCGATTCTGCCATTTAGGCTAGTAGTTCTATTGACAAGTATTTCGGTATTTAGAACATAATATTTTTTTTTATAATATTATGAAGTAATACATGCAAAGAAATTGTTGAGATATTTGTATTCATTGCTATATACATGCAAATTTTTTTTGAAAATTTCGTTCATCTAACTGGAACATAGTTGGGAATTTGATACTAACTATTTATTTATAATCTGGTTATATCATATCCATTTATCTCCACATGTGCCCTTGAACTGTCCAAGTTATGGGATTGTTCATTTTAACATATACATCTATAAATTCAAGTATATGAGATTGAGAAACAAGACTTGTAATTGTTGATCACATTATTAATTTTATGCCACTTATTAATTAATGGGAGTCTAGACCAAGACTATGAAGAATATAAGGGGGAGAAAAAGTTAGTCACTCAATTAATTAAGTGTTCATTAACTTCACCTATTATTTAATTTAATTTAATTATTTTAATTATAAAATTTTAATTAATACAAAATATTCATTCTTGTTGTATAAACATAATAGACTAGTTATGATTTAATTTAATTTAATTACTGTAAGTATTAATTTTTTTTTCCAAGAAATTTAAATTGAAAAAGAGAAATAATAATTAAAATATTAAATAATTAACAATAGATATCTTACCTATGAAATGATTAATTGTTAAAACATGTGCTTATGCTTTTATCTTAATGCTTTCTAGTTTTTATTTTTTAAATTTATGTGTATTTAATTTTTAAAATTATTTAAATTAGTCATCGATAACAATAAAAAAAATAATAATAATAAATATTATTTTACTAACAATTCACGTAAACATAACTTTATCGGGTTTTTTAAATGACAGTTTTTTTACAAAAATTTATTTTAAAAAAATTGAAAGTAAATTACCAAATGGATACAAAAATTGATGCAAGAACTTATTTGAAAATACAAATTGTACAGAATATTTCGTCCTCAAATTAATTCATTCACTTCAAAATTGTCTTATACAACCAAAAGCCAAAAGCATCAAAATCATGAGTCAGCAACCCCACACAAACAGATATCCAGAATTTGGCTATATGCGGCCCACGACAAAACCATAGCTAAGGCAAAAGTTAAATACAGCTGCATAATAACTCAATCAAATATCCTCTTTTGGATGTAATAGCCTTCTGCAGTGAAATGGCTTGGACATGAACTAGTCAAGCATGTAGATCCTGGATGCAACATCCTGAACCAACCAGTCGAATCCCTCGAGCAATCCTTCACCTGTATATGCACTGCATCCCACAATTTTCCAGTGCCGGCTTTTATCCATGGCTTCCAAGTTCAGTACCTGCAAACACAAGTTTAAAGTTATATTTTCCAGATATCCCTCTATTCTCCAAGGCCATTTAAGGGTCTATGGAGCTGTTAATCTCCCCAAGGAAAGGCTTTGGTAACTTATGTCTAGTTGTAGAAATTTATTCTGATCGAAAATATGGCTTTTCTTCACTATAATTTTCAAATTTCGGAAAATGATAGTGAAATATAACACAAACAAATGAAAAATAGTTTTTATACTCATGTCTTACTTTCACTATTATTCCCAGAGTCTTATTTTCATTTTTTCAACATCTATACATGTGTTTATACACAAATGTATATGAATTTTAAAAACTCAATGCAATTTCCATAACTAAACAGGGTATTTGGCAACCAAAATTACATGAATAAAAAACCTCAAATTAGAGCATCATTCTGAAAGGACAACTGTAATACATGTGGCAGATTTACAGATACAAAAGACCAAGGAAATTCTATCTTGTCAAGGTACCAATAAAGCTTACTTTAGCAATTTCTGCAGGTGAGAGAGCACCTTTAATATCCTGCTTATTTGCTAGTATCAGCAACGATGCCCCTGCCAACCTCTGCAGTAAAGATGACCAACCTCAAAGCTTAGGCAGAGTCACTGTCAATTCATCATGACCAACAAACTGAAAGCATGACACTGCTGCTTACAGTACAAAAGATATTCATGTGTATTAGGAAGAAAAAATGATGTGTTAAGTGGGTGGACAAGTGTACTGGGTAGAATAGGCTAGTACAGGCCATATGTAAAATGATGAATTAAGTGTGAGCATGTATATTAGGGAGAATAAGTTTAAATAAGGACAATGAGGTAGTTAATTCCGGAAATAACTTTCAGAAAACTATTGTTTCTCTTGTATATATACAGGCTGTCTTCTTTGACAGCTTTTAGACAAGAAAAAATTTATAAAAAAAAAGTGCTGAGTATTTTCTTATTCAAGATATCGTTGGGTTCTCTCTTAACGAGCAATACTATTAACAAAAAAATCAGAAATCGTTGAGTTCTCTTAAAGAGCCCATACTATTAACATCATAACAAGATCCATTAATCAGAACTGTAATATTTTGCCTGTCAGTTGAAACGCGAGCAAGTTATACACAGAAGTCATATACCTCTTCCTTCAAAAGATTATCAAGTTCCATTTTGCAATCATCTAATCTCCTAAGATCTGAGCTATCAACTACCCACACCAATCCATCAGTTTGCTCAAAGTAATTCCTCCAATATGATCTTATAGTTCTCTGTCCCCCAACATCCCATATGTTCAATGTATACCTGCCCAAAAATCACACCTATTACCCCAGTTGAATAACTTTTCATGACAAAATTTCAAAATGATCCAAGCTAGATTCAACATATACAGGACAAGAACAGGGAACTTACTTTTGGTAGGTGATAGTTTTGATATTAAAGCCTAGTGTTGGACTGATGACACTTGTGTCCTCCCCATTTATCTTCGAAACAATAATTGTTT